TTAGAAATAAGAAAAAGTAGAAAGGGTAGTATACACACATACATGATGCAACTGCCCTAATTCCTTACTTGATTCAAAGCACTATCCAAAAACGACAGAAATTGAATAAACAAATCCACCACAGAGAGTCATTCAGGGGTCTTGGAAACAGAAAAGGTTTTTTGTTTTATTGGTAATAGATTTTAGTAAGGTCTATTATAATAAATCAAGGTGTCTATCTAAAGTCAATGTGACATTGGGTAAGCACTTAAAAAACTGGCAGATACACAGTCTGTTATTAGTACTATAGCTGCTGGAATTCATGATAAAAACAATTCTGCTTATACTCTTTTCCAGGTACAAGTACCTTAATATCGCTGAAAACTAAATTAACTTTTTCAAACCATCAAAGAACTATTACCCAATAGTATACTTGAAGTTTTTAAAAAGCTGCCCAATTGCATGGCCCATCCCAGTGTATTCATGCAATTTAAAAGTAAAATAGCCCAACTTGCAACTATGTAAGCATGGCAGACACAAAGATGTGCCCTCCAGAGCCCCTTTCAAGAGACGACTAGCTGCCCAGCTGTGAGGAATGTAGTTATCGACTGCCGCCAGCTGTTGTTGACTTCAGGGTCTATTTCGGCTTTCAAGCCAAAGTCATACTAGCTGAGGTGGTCCCCAGTCACTGGGATTTAAACTAGATGGTAGAAGCCAGGCACATATTCTTGGATGACGTTCAGCAAATGACTAAGGAAGGCAGTGGTACAAAGCCCGCTATTTACATTCAGCACAGAACTCGTCTCAGGGCAATCTTTCCTCCAGCACTCCCCGCTGGGCTGGCAGAGACTGCGTCACATCTGCACTGGAGTCCGAAACAGCTCTCCTTGTTCAATACTGCTCCCTCCCTTCTCCTTTCGTTGGTATTTCTAATAAACGTTTGGTATGCTTAACTGCATTTTAGTGTCTGCTTACCAGGGAACCCAGTTATTACGAGGATCTAAACCATCCTGACTATTAATCTTTATTCTCTGAATATTAATGTGTGAGAAAGAATATTCTTAGCTTAAGAATATCTTCTTATAGATGGAGCATACTGTTTGTTTTTAGTGGTTTATCAAACTATACTGAGTTTATTTACTTTCTTGTGAATGTACAGCTTCACCAACCACCCTAGAGGCACATTTTTTGTTCTCCAGTTTGGCACTTCATGGGTCATCTGATTCTTTTCCAGTCATGATCACCATCCTACATAACCTTGTCTATTTCCTAGAGAAGCAAGGAATGGTCAAATGAGCAAGAGAGAAAACTATTCTTAAAATGTGTTATGAACTCAGTTTAGTTTAATGTGTCAAATGCTAGCGTATTACATGCAATTTTAGCACAGTCCATTTTTTGGAAGACTCTTGCTGAGGCTTAGCCTTCTTTAGTGATCTCCCAATCAATATGACCCTCACTTCATGTTCAAAAAATACCCTTAGAAAAGAAAAGGCAGCTGTCTGTTAGGTTATACAGGATTTATTTGGTATCTTCAAAAACCAATCTGAGAAAATTTTCCACTCACTGATTTTAGTTGAGCCACCAAGAAAACAAGAAAATCCTTCTGCAAAATTTTCAATAAGTTGATATTATCTAAAGACCTGAAGCGTGAAACCTGGATTACAACAGCTGACCAAAAAACCCAGAATGTAATGACCACAAAAACTAAGTAAAAAACATAGAAAGTATAATAACGTAAAATTTATTTAAAAACTGGAAAGGTATTTCTATAATTTGACAACGCACAAATAACGTACATATGCAATGTGAAATTGCATATTCTAAACTATCTAAATTGTTCAGAATGAAAACACTGAGCTCTTAATTCTATTCATAATACTTACAGTGTGTAGATTTTCCTATGTCCTTCTTACCAAGAATGACTCTTTCAGTTCATATTTTGTTTAGCACAGAATTAAATTTTTAAAAAGAAAACACGAATTGAAAGTTCTATAGGTCTGCAACTGACTGAAAAACTTCATACCTAATTATAGGGAAATTTTGATATAGTAATGACCTAAGCATAAAGAATTAAATGTGAGTCATGACGTCATTATTGCAAAAGCCAAAAAGCAGGCTTCATCTATTCTAGACATTTAAATTCATTGTGGTAGACAGCAAACCAGCCACAAATTATTCCCCCTCCCTATACCCACCATCGTTTGCAACAGGACTTAGTTGCCCCTTTCATCAAGAGGTAGAAAGTTTATTTACCCACTCACTGAATTTGTACCAGCTCCTGACTGGTACTTTGGCCAATGAAACAACAGCAAACATGATGCAAGCAGAGACTTGAAAAGTGTCTTACTTTGGGGCTTGCCCTTCTGCTGGTATTAGAACTCCATGATCACTATGTGAATAAGCACCTGAGAAACCAGATGGATGGGACACTATAGTCATCCCACCTGAGACCATCAGGAAGCAGCCAGCCCCAGCCAATCTACCAGTTGGCCGCAGATGCGTAAGTAAACCTAGCCAAGGTCAGCTGATCCTGGAACAGGTGAAAAGACTCACCCCGCTGAGCCTAGCCTCAATTGCCATCCTGCAGGATAATGAGCCAAATAGATGGAGGTTGTTTTACACCACAAAGTTTGGGGTGATATTTGACAGAGCAATGGATAACTGATATGTATGGCTTTTTCACTGTGCACAGAATATTTACTCTCTCATTAAACAATTAAAGTATACCATGAGCACCACTGTGGGGAAAATATAATTAAATATCAGTTAGCATTATTCTAGAAGCTGGCCTTTTCTACGGATTCTTCTTCTAACTATGCAATAAGAATAACCAAGAGGGCATTTCACAGAAGACAGCAACGAACAGGGCATCTTAACAATCTATATAATAATCTAAAGATCACAACTTGAAAGTGTACTGTATATTTGTTATGTAACCTTCCCTGGACAAAATGATTTTAGGATTTCTTAACGGCCAAATATCAGCGATGATGTTATAAGAAATATCTGGATTTTCTTTTCTAGCAACTTACTATGGTAAACTATGGCATAAGAAAACTTTAGCTATCCAAAATCCTACCTTTCCAGAAATGTTTCATTTCCCACAGAAATGACCACTTAAATAAATGGAGAGTCGCTAAAGACATAGCAACAATGAATATTATCAAAAAAGGCTGAAGATTAGTATGTTTAGCATGCTATGATTTGCTTGGTTTGCAGCACAGCAGGAAAACAGTGCTAAGTGACTAGTAATATATCTGAGGCAAGTCTTTTCAGGCAAAGTTGAGAGGCATGGTGTTGTGTATTAATTTGGCTGACTTTTGTCCCTGGTTCCTTAGAAGGGAGCCTCTAAACTAGAATTTTTCAAGTAATAGGAGTGTCTTTATTATTCATGGTGGGTCCCCTGGACGACACCTGAGTTCATGCTAACAGGATGACTCACAGCAGGTCCTTAGATAATATCAGGATGGGGGCTGGCCAAACTGGAAAGATGAACCATGTGATTAGGTAGTTTGGGCTTTGTGTTGCTAACACAAGGTTATCAACTGGACCTCCCAACCACCTGGGATGAAGACGAAGGGGTCTGAAAACTGAGTTCAATCATGTGGCCAATTATTCACGAAGGGGTCTGAAAACTGAGTTCAATCATGTGGCCAATTATTCACGAAGGGGTCTGAAAACTGAGTTCAGTCATGTGGCCAATTATTCAAACACTCATACCTACATAATGAAACCCCAATAAAAACTCTGGAAACTCAAAGCTCAAGTGAGCTTCCTTACTGGTGATACACACTGATGTGTCTCAAGGGCGACAAGTCCCAAGGACACAGAAGCTTTGCATTTGGGACTCCCCTAGACCTCACCCTATACTTCTGTTCATTTTGCTGGTCCTGATTTGTATCCTTTATAATAAAACTGCAATCGTAAGTATAGTGCTTTCGTGAGTTCTGAGAGTCATTCCAGCAAATTATGAAACCTGAGGGGGCAGTAGGAACTTGTAGCTAGCTAGGCAGAAGTGCAGGTGTCCTGGAAACCCAGTAGATTTTGGCTAGTGTCTGAGGTTAGGGGAATACTGTATAGGAATACTGCCCTTCACCTGTGGAATTTGACCTAACTCCAGGTAGTGTCAGAATTGCACTGTCCATGGTAAAAGCAACAAAATGTCAAAGACATAAAAAAGATCAACAGAAGACAAGGTTAACAACAGAACTGGTAGTCAGAGTTAGGAACAATCACAGTAGCAGTCACCCAAAAAAAAAAAAGAAAAAAAAGACAGTAGCAAAAGCAAAAGAGAAAATTAGAGATGATAAAGGAAGAATTGGTAGAGACAACAGAAGTAGGGTTCAGGGATACATTTTTGGGAGGAAGACAAATATTAAGTAGTTACACTATTAGTTAATTTTTACAATGGCACATATTACAAAAGATATAGTTGAATGAGGATTTAATAAACAAATATACAGATCAATAATAGTCTACAGTCCTAAAACGTACACACCTTCATCTCTGCTTGCAAATATATTAAACACAATATTATACATGTTAGCAAGAAAGTACAGACTAATGTACATTTTAAGGGGGCTTCATCAATAACAAAAAATTCAGATTTAATCCTTACCTTCCACTAAAAACAGTACATTCCTGGTAAGTACCTGATATTTAAACATTTACATACTTGTTTCTCAAATTCAGGTTTGCCTTAAAATACAGTTATAATTCTCACCCAAATTTTAAAGTCATACACGCAGACTCTAAACTAACAAGAATATTTCTGAGAACTCAAAAAACAAATATAACCCTTAAATTACTAGCTATGACACCTTGACTTCTGGCAAAAAGACTTCAGATAGAGATTTCATCAAGATGCAGAGGTCAACTTCAATTTCTACTAAATGTTAATAATAATCAGTTTTGAAACTTTTAGAAAAGATGTATTAATTCTGAAGTTGTTTGTTTTTAACATAGAACTCTCTAAAAACTCTTCCCAAACAATAGTCAATTGGACAACTAGAGTCTCTTACCTGTAGTCATCCAACTGTACCAAAAATCGTACAATATCATGATGAGCTTTCAGTACAAGCAGTTCAGTGTAGGGGTTCTGGGTTTGTTCTTCACCTATTGTCTGCAAAGGAGATTTCTTGTATTGGAAAAAAACAAGCAAAAACAAAAGACAGAGAAAGAGAAAATAATTTATGATGAAAGATCATATTGGAATATAACTGCATGGTATACATCTATGAATACAGATTTTAAAAGCCAGAAGATAATCATGTTCTAATACTAAGTATTATTTTCCCTAATATCAACTAAATAACTGCCAATTCAACATAAAACATTTCTCTTAACCACGAATTTATACCATAAGTTTTAATATTTTCAAACCACAATACATTTACAAAAAGGGTGAATTCTATTTTATGTAAATTGCATCTCATTAAACCTGACTTAAAAAAATAAATGGGCTAATCCAACTCAATATTTTATAATGTGTGTTTCTCAATTAAAACTTGGCAGCAAACAAAACTTCAAATCGAAGGGGTAAAATATAGACTAAAAGAAGTGCCTAGTTCATTATAGGCACTCAATATATGTTTGCTGAATGAATGAAAGCATTAAATCATTTGGATTCAGTGAATTCAACTCTGGACAATAATATTGATAATGATAATTGCTAACATTTACAGAGTATTATGTGGCAAGCCATATGCTAGGTGTGCTAAGTATTATACATATGCCACATAACTTAATCATTCTATAAGGTGGGTCTTATTAACTCCATTTCTGGAGTCAAATCAAGTACTATCTCATGATAAAAATTTTTGTACTTAACCTCTAAATCAGGGTTTCTCACACTTGACACTGTTGACATTTTGGACCAGGTAACCCTTTGTTGAGGGCTGTCCTGTGCATTGTAGGATATTTAGCAACTACCCTGGTCTATACACACTAGATGCCAATAGATGTACCCCCCCAACACACACAAGACAGGACAATCAAAAATGTCCCTAGACATTGCCAAATGTCCTCTCCGAGGCAAAAATCACCCCAGTTGAGAACCACTGCCTAAACTAGAAGCTTGGATACAAAGTTCTTGCATGAATTAGGGAAAATCATAGGTTCTGATAATGTACAAATTCACACAGCAGTTATACAACTAAAACATTTTTATATGAAAAAAGTATATATTAACATGCATATTTTCCAAAAAATCCATCTCAAAGCGGTAATTTTTTATTTACCCACTGTCCCCCTTCTAGCAGAGCTTTTCAAAACAAAAGTGAGAAATCTGAAAACTGTATAAACTGCTTCTTCCCAAATGAAGCTTGTCGGTAATGGCAGAGTTGGTTAATCAAATTACATGATTAATCAAATAATTGGCTTAATATAGAATTGTCATATATATTTATCACATATGGCTATTCAATGACCCACAAGTATTCCATAACCTGAAGGATTTCAAACTAATCTGCAATAAGAATTTTTTAAAAAATAGACAATAAGCCTCTCAACTGCAAAGATACGAGGAAGTTAAAACTGAGAAGGCTGCTTACACACAACCACCCAATTTTTCAAAGTCAAAACAAATACTTCCTAAAAGAAACAAAATGGAATTCAACACAAATTCCGTTCCGTGTGGCATATGAAATAAATTCCAGACCTCAACATTTTTAAGACTGCAAAATTATTTTATTCACTTTTCAAATGTCTCATTACAGTCTATTTAATTATTCAGGCCCATGAAGAAAGTGTGACTAGGCAACCAAAAACAGTAGATAGAGTCATTTTCTTGACCTTAAAGCAATAATTATATCCTTATTTTGGTCCTTGGATAAATAAGTTAATTTCATATTCCCTGTATCAGTTGATGGGGAAGAAGTACGAATTCAAATAAAAGTGGGAAGTTGCAGTCACCACTCGTTCGTTTCTAGTTAAGCTGGATACTTCTTAAAATTGAAATGAGGATGGTTTAAGCAGCAAGACCCACGTTCTCGCAGGTCCCAACCGGCCTGACGACTAGCTGAGTGTCCCTGAGCCTGCGGTCTAACGATTCAGTCCTTGGCCTCCCCTCCTGTAACTTGCAGGGCAGGCCGGCGGGGCACAGCGGCGCCCAGGAAGCGCGCAGCGAGACACGCCCGCGGGCCCCGCCTCCGCCTCGCCGTCCAGCCCGGCTCGGAACCAAGCCGCTGCCTGGGCAAGCTCGGCCTCTGCGAGTGCGGGGAGGATCCGCCCGGGCTTTACCTCGGCCAGTCCCTGAGGTTCTCGGCCTCCCCCGATCAGCCATCGCAACATCCCGGCAGCGGCGGCGTCTCGCCCGGTACAGGCCCCAGTCAGCCCGAACTCCGCCCGGGGCTCGGCCTCCTCCTACCTCCCGGGCTACAGCGCAATGGAAACGCTAACACTTGCCGCCCCGGATTTGCCCACGGGAGGGTGAGAGTGCGCAGACCACAGAAAACGGAAGGCTTTTGTCCCCGAAGCGCTCCCGCACCCAGCCACAGAGGCTTAGTTTGTGGAGCCGTCCGCGGAGCAGCCGCCGAAGGCTTGGGCGGCTGCGGCGATTCCGAGGCGCGCGCTGCTCCGAGTGAGCACGCGCGGGGGCGCCGCCGGGTAGGCGCGGGGAGCTTAGAGCGGCCCCTGGAGGACGCACTCAGAACAGCAACCGGAGCCCGGCGAGCAAGCGAGCACCGTGGAGTCTTCTGCCTCCCTCCCTGTTAGACGGCTGTAGTAGTCTTCACTTGGCTGGGGGACTACTAGGAAACCTCCTCCGTTTTCCCAAGAGCTGCCTAGAGAAAGTGGACCACAGTAGACTTCTGCATCCGAACGAATCCAGTGGCATGTGTGTACAACAGAATAGATCTGGCTATTTATTGTGTGCTGTAATACAGGTACTGTGCTAAGGATTTACATAAATCCTCATAGTTACCCTACAGCCCCCATTTTATAGATGAAGAAACTGAAGCTCTGAACGATTAGGTAACTTGTCTAAGGCTAACAGCTAGGAAGTGGCTGCATGGGAATTGGAACCAATCTCCAAACTCCAAAACTAGTGTCCTTGACTATATGCTGTACTGTCTAACATCAAATCTCCCTAAAGAATAGAAGGCACTTCATATATTTTATTTGACTACTAAATTTTCTTAGGTAGTCAAAGAGCTGTGGGTCTCTACCCTGGCTGCATATCAGAATTACCTGGGTAGCTTTTGAAAATGTAGATTCCTGTCTTCCTCCCCAGACTTAGTAAAACAATCTCTGTGTTTGGAACAAAGGAATCAGGGTTTGGGAAAAGTTCCTCAGGTGATTCTGATGAGTAGAAAGGTTTGAGAATCACTGGTCTAGGAACCACTTATACATATGTTTGTAGAAGTGTACACATAAATTTGCATATGTATTTGTTAGGTACAAATAAGCCTCCTAGCAGTAAACTCTTGTAGGGAACCTACAAACGATCCAATGCATTAATTCAACAAATGTGTTGAGCACAGATGCCCTAGGGAAGCAAAAAGGAATCACATAAAATGCTATTCTCTAGGGACAAGGCAGAATGTCCTAGGCACTAATAAGAGAGTCATACATTCTACTTTAGGGTATATTAGTTGTGAGCAGCTGCCCAAACTAACTGACAGTCACTAGGAAATTAGGATCTCTAGTGATTTATCTTTGTATTCATTTTGAGTGTACTGGGCAAGGGAACAGTGTGCTAGCCCCAAACATTGGATTTACTAGACAAAGGCTTTTTAAAACAACCGCCCTAAAGATATCCAAAGAGCTAAAGGAAGACGTGGATGAAGATAGAAAAATGATGTATAAACAAAATGAGAATAGAGAGTTAGAAATTATAAAAAGGAACCAAAAGAAATTCTGGAGCTGAAAAATATAGTAACTGAAATGAAAAATTCACTGGAAGAGTTCAATAGCAGATTTGAGCAGACAGAAGAAAGAATCAGTGAAGATAAGACAATTGAAAATAGGACAATTGAAATGATAGATCGGTTGGATAGAATAGAGTACAGAAATAGAACCACACATATTTGAATAACTGATTTTTTTTACAAACGTACAAAGGCAGTCAATGGAGAAAACATAGTCTTTTCAACAAATGGTGCTAGACAATTTGACATCCATATCCAAATAAATAAGAGGCAATCTACATCTCACTCCATATACAAAATTCAGGATGGATCATAGATGTAAATGTAAAACCTAAATCTATACAACTTCCAGGACAAAATATATGGAAAAATCTTTGTGACTTTGGATTGGGCAAAGATTTTTTATATTTGACCCTAAAAGCACAATCCATAAAAGAAAAAACTTGATAACTTAATAACTTATACCTCATGAAAATTAACATTTCTATTCTTTAAAGGACACTGTTAAGAGAATAAAAATATAAGCCATATACTGGGGAACGTATTTTCAAATTTTATATCTGATAAAAGACTTGTACCCAGAATATATAAAGAACTCTAAAAACTTTATAAAGATCCAATTCTGGGTAAGATGGAGTAAACACACACTACCCTTTCCTCTCCAATGGAACACAACTACACCTGGACAGAATAGATGATGCCTCTCTTTGAGGACTCTGAAAAAGTGGATTGGGGAAGAATACCAGAATTCAAAATACCAGCAAGTCAGCATTTCTTTTTTCCTGCAGTAACTCCCCCAGACCGAATCCAATGCAGCCTCAAATTTGGAAAGGAGCACTGTGGCGCGGAAAGAGAAAGATGCAGCAAAAGCCCTCTAGTTGTGGCTGGAAGAGCAAGAAAAGGAATTCCTAAAGCTCAGAGAGCGGGGGAATTCTCCAGGGTCTTTTTCTTTCCTTTTTCTCCAAAACTAAGGGAAGGGAAACTTCCTCCTAATTCAATGGCACTCAGTCTGACAAAGGGTGAGTCCAAACCCAGACTTGTTTTTCCTCATCTTTCTACCCTTCCACTAATTGGCACCAGGGGTGGAGCAGTTGTGGAAGTAGGTGGTTTCTTGCCAGAGGAACGAAAAAGGGAAACCCCCAAAGAACCAGAAAGTACCAGAGAGATAGGGGTAAGAGAGGAGTTCAGGAAAGCAACCCATTTAGTTGTATATGAAATCCTAGGCTCACCTCCCTTGCCTGCTTATGCATAGATTTTACTCTAATTAGTATACCAAAGACTTTGAGAATTGAGCTAACAGAATTCTGCCCAGGCCCAAGACCAATTACTGGGTGGGAGAAATACAGATAGCACCGCCAAGCAATTTAAACTGAACTGAACTGAACTGACATTGGAACCACTCCTCACAGAAGGGAGGTTAGAACTTGTGCCTAAACCTAGCCAGGTTAATTCCTTGCTAAAATAAAAATATCAACATTCTCCATAGGACTTAAATAAAACAGAATTTCATAGCGTTATATTCCAAAAGTCTAGGAACACAAGGCAAAATTACTTGGCATATTAAGAAACACAAAAGTCTCAACTCACATGGGAAAACACAATCAACAAATGCCAATGACAAAATCTTACAGATATTGGAATTATCTAAGACTTTAAAACATACAAAAATGCTCGAATGGCAATTGTGAACACTCTTGAAGTAAACACTAAAATAGAACATATCAGTAAAGCAGTAGAACATATAGAAGATTCAAATGGAAATTTTAAAATTTAATATACAATAACCAAAATCTAAAACTCACTAAATGGACTCAATAGCAAAATGGAGATGAGAGGAAAAAAAGTCAGTAAACTTAAATAGAGAAAAATCAATAAAACCAAAAGCTAGGTTTTTAAAAAGATCAATAAAATTTTGATAAGCCTCTAGCAAGACTGACAAAGGAAAAAAAGAGAAAAGACACAAATTAGCGGTATAAGGCATAAAAAGAGGAGATACCACCACAGACCCTGCAGACATTAAAAGGATAAGGGTATACTACTAACAACCCTGCACAGAAAACTTTAACAACATTGATGAAATAGAACGATTTCTCCAGTATCATGAATTACCAAAACTCGTCCAAGCTCAAATAGATAACCTAAGTAGTTCCATAACCATTTACAAAATTGAATTCATAGTTTAAAGTGTTCTAGAAGAGAAATCTTCAGGTCCAGATGGCAAATACTAATGAAAATCCTAGCAGGATTTCTTATAGATAGATAAGCTGCTTCTAAAATGTATAAGGAAGGGCAAAGGAACTAGTATATGCTTTAAGACATTACATTAGAAAGCAAGAAAGATATTCAAAACTTAATTATTTGAACCTTATAGTCCCTGCTCTCAAGAAACTTATACACAACTTTAGAATAACATTGAGTAGGTACTTACATTTTAAGAAGAAAAACTGAAGACTAAGAGAGGATCACAAACAAATTAGTAATAAATAAACTGAAGGACTAAATTCTAAGGACATCTGGTTTAAAAACAATCAGAGTTCTGGAGAGGGGTTGCACAAGAATATGAGTGTATTTAAAACTACTGAACTGTACATTAAAAATTGTTAAGATGGTAAATTTTATTTTATGTGTATTTTACAATTAAAAATAAAAATAAATGTAATCATCAGAGTGTAGTAAGGTATAAAAGTTAATTTGGATTTTATGGACACAAAACCACGTATATATGTTTAAATTTGTACTGAGGGCTTATGATAAACAGAAATACAGTGCCCTATCCATTCCTAACCCCAATACCGCTCCCAGAGGCAACCACTTTCAAGGTTGTAGCTGCTGCTTTTCCAATTTACCTCCGTATTTCTGAAAATACTTTTATACTGCTATCTCTTATACTTGTTCTCTCTTGAGACATCATTTTGAAATCTTTGATTTCTTATGTTAGATGAGGATTAATACTAAAAACCTTCCCCACTAAGCCCTCAATTAAACTTTCCTTACCTCATCACCCTATTTATATCACCAATGTTCCTTTTCACCATACTCTCAATATAGGTATAACAAATGTTTTGTTAGTCAGTATTCAGTGTTTTCAGTCTCACGGCTATAACATTAGGTAGAAAATGTTATTTACTACTGAGTCGAACAGAGTAGTGGATTCCATTTTCTCTTTGTAACGTGACTAAGTGTGAATCTCTTTGTTTATTCTCCTTAGAGTTTATTAAGCTTCTTTGATGTGTACTCTTTTTCATCAAATTTGGAACATTTTCAGCCATTATTTCTTCAAATATTTTTTTCTTCTCCTTTCTTCTCTTCCATTTGTCACTCCTACTACATGTATGTTGGCGTGCTTAATGGTTTCTCACATTTCTCTAAGGTTCTGCTTCTTTTTCTTCATTTTTCTTTCGCTTGTCCTTTGGCTTGCATAATTTCTGTTAATCTCTCCTCAAGTATACCAATTCCTTTTTCTGCCAGTTCAAATCTACTGTTGAGCCTCTCTAGTGAATTTTTTTATTTTGGTTATTTTACTTTTTGACCCCAAAGTTTCCATTGGGTTTTTTAAAAATAGTTTCTGTATCTTTATTGGTATTTCCTATTTGATAAGACATTGTCATCATAGCATCTTTTATTTCTATGGGCATGGTTTCTTTAGTTTTTTAAACATATTTATTAAGGCTGCTTTGAATTCTTTGTCTATTAAATCGAATATTG